TTGGTCCAGGATACATTGCCTTTTTCTGAGCCATCAGTTTCGAACAACAAAATTGTATCGGCAGATGCGGTGAAAAAACCTAAACAAATATTATACATTTTTATACATAGTTTTTCATATTGACTTACAGTCGCGGGGTGTCCTTCCCTTTTTGGTCGTTTCCAATTTCTGAGTCACCACAATTTTTGTTCCGTTGTTACAGAATTGCAAAATCGCTCTCAATTTAATCATAAGATCTGGATCAAAAGCTAAATTGTTGCAGAAAATAATGGTCGCTTTCTCTTTCAAAAAAGTCTCAATTTCTTCGGTATTGAAATCTCCGAGTTTCAGCTCAAATGGCCGTGGCTTTTCCCCAAAATGCCGCATCAGCTTCTTGAACTGACGAACGTTTTCGTCCGCAAAACCAGCTGGGACCTGTTGAAGTTCAATGCCTCGCACGTGTGCTATGTTGGTATACGCAGCAGCAAACGTTACCAGCTGCCCGATTCCAGATCCCAAATCCATGAAGACGTCGTCTTCTTTGACACCAAGCAGGTCCAGGATTTTTTGTAACGTCTCGATATTCGTTTCACCGTAAGTCTGGAAAAATTATTAACATTACGAAGTGTCTCTAAATATTTGTGAGCGAAAAAACAGAGACGGACTCCTATACACAGTAACAGTCTATAAAATTTTTAAAAAAAGATTTTTCAGTTGATTTGTGGTCTATTCAAAATGCTATGAAACAAAAGACATTTTCAAAAAGTTTTGTGAATAAAAAATTTTCAATCTAGGTATTTTATACAAAAAAAAAGAAAATGGCCACAATGTTTGAAAATCAACTGAAAAAATGCGTTTTGTCTATCTTATTTACTGTATGTACGTTTAGTGAACTAACCCCGCTGCTGAATCCTGCATAATGCGTGTTTAGCACTCGTGGATTTGGAATGGCGAGTTGACATGCTAAGTCACAGATTACACGGAACTCGGAAGCTTCCTTTTGGCGCCAATTTTCTTTTGAAAGTAGAACATCACGCGGATTCTGAAATTAAGAAATTAAAACAAAAGTCTGGCGAAAATATAATCAAAACTATTTACTTTTTTACGAAATGCTTTGACACTGTTGTTGAACGTTTTCAAAAAGGGTCCTAGTTCACTGTCGGCGCATTCGTCCCAATGGAGTGGATGGATATTCAGCTTTGAGAGGACAGATCCATGTATCCTGAAATAATAACGATTTCTGAAATATATTAAAAATTTTCACTCACTCTTTGAACAACGTTTTGATGACCGATGCAGCGTTCGGCTCATTTGAAGAGAGATCTAAACGGCGTCCGTTTTTGCAAACTGACTCGATTGTCCATTTCTCTACTTTAACGGCAATTTTCGGAGCCGGTCCAGCGACTTCGGATGAAGCATTTCTCTTGGTGGTGGATCTCAAACTTCTGACGGAAGCTGGTTGCAACGGACCTGGTTTGTCAGCATCATCGGAAACGACAGAGAAATTTTGTTGGACCTTAGACATTTCTGATTCTTCGGTATTTTCACAGCAAATTTCCAAAACGTTGACGATTTGGGTGGACTTCGAGAACAAATATAGAATGCAAGTGTTAATATGTAGATAGTTGGAATATGATTGGAAGATGGTATTGATGTAGATGATGAATGAATGATTGAATGAATGATTGAATGAATGGATGGATATGAAGAGATTGGTTTACAGAATTGGGAGGCGGAGTCAAAAAGCTGCAAATTTATGCTACTAAACTCCTCCCCCAAATTTATAATTGTCATCATTTCGTATCAGTATCCGATCAAGTATCCGAAGTTTATGAGGTCAACTGTATACTCCCAGTCATGAAGTCATAAAGAATTGCCCAGAATACCAATTCACTTCGAAAGTGTACAAAGATTACGATCCTGATTAGGATGGCAGTGTATACATTTCCTCCAGGAAATTAGAATGTGCTGAAAATGAAAAACGTTGAGGTTTTTTAAATATTTTGAAAAGTTTGAAACGGGAACAGGTTCAACAATTTTTGGAAAGTATTTGTTTTCAAAACGTTTATTAAGTTGGAAAGTTGTCAAAAAAGTTTGTTCCATTTTCGAATCTTGCTGGTAAACCACTAGTTATTATTTTCCGAATAAAAAAAACTAGTTTTCTGAAAATGTTTCAGTTTATGTTGTTTTTCAGATTTTCAAGAGCTGGAAGTAATTTTGACCTTGAATTCGACTTTTAAAAGGCTTTCTTTTGAATATCCCCCATTTCAAAGTGCTGAGCCTCTTATTTCAATTCTGATCATATTTTTTAAAGTCTGATTTGACTTCTGAAATTTTTTTTCAATCAAAAATCTATCGAAAAATCAACCAAACCAGAAAAAATCTCGAAGCGTTCATTGAAAGTTTAAATAGATTATCGAAAACTAGAAATGTTATGAAATCTCAAATTTTATTATTTCGAGTTTTTTTTGGATTTCATACATATCACATTTGACACAGTATCACGCAGATTCATCAATCTACATAGGAATTTCAGAAAACTGCTTAAAAAATTCTGAAATCTTCTCAAATTATTGGATTCATTTTTCTGAAACCATTAATTTCTCTATTTTTTCAATGTGCTTTTTTCAATCTTTCAACAGAGAATTTTTATTCAGAAGTTCACACCATTTCAAGAACAAATTTCAGATGGAAAAGGGACGGGAGAAAGGGCACGAACTAGAAGATGAAAATCGCAATAAAATCTAAAATCAAGAGATCTTGGGGACGGGTGCTAGAAAAAGAGTTGCGAGCCGAAATGAAAAAAAGAAAGTTAAGAAAGAAAGTATATGAGGATCAAGAAAATTGAGAAGTTGGATTGAATAGGGAGGCTGATACGGAGACGCATCAGACGAATTCCTTATATGGTGTTCCAGTATCTCCAGCCAAATCTTTGTCCCAGGTGATATAGGAGACACTGAAATATTTCAATTTTAGATGTGCTATTTTATTTAGAATGAGCTTACGCAGTATCCACACTTTCGAATGTGGTGTCACTTCTCACTTCACGAATCCCATAGCTCGTACAGTTGTGGCGCACGGAGAGAAAGACTTCGTAGAATTTCTGTAATACATTTTCTGTAATACATTAATCGTGATCCTGACTAAAATGAATAGGTGGTATTTTTTATTATTCTGAAACTGAAACGTGATTCGATCAACTGTTGTGAACTCACGTCTCCGAAAGGCCCATCCTCGTACTCATTTCCATCAAGCTTGTAGTTCCAGGAGTGCCGTCCGAATACGCATTTGGTTCCCATTCTGTCGATTACATCGTTCCAACTGAAAATTGTAGATGTGAAAGAGTGCAAAAGACAAAATAAACTTACGATTCGGTGATGTCCTCTTCCCAGAGAGTGACAAAAAAGCACCATGCGTTGTAGTCACAGGTGAATGTACCGTTGGCCTTGAAATTGGTCTTCGCCGCAATTCCTCCGATCAAGAAGAGAATCGGGAGAAGAGAGACCAACTTCATTTTCAGTGGAAAACGGACTGAATTGGCGAATCCGTCGTCTGTTAAAGGACCCAGTATGGGCGTGGCTTGAGTCAGATCTCGAGCTCTACCACAAAAAAATAGCTCCACCCCTCAAAAAAAGATCGAGAAGGTTCGAAAATAGAAAAGCCGGGGCGTGATTGATAGAGAAGGCAAAAGGCGCGTTCCGGAAATTGGGAAAAAAGATAGAAGCTCTTAGATAAAACTGACTGGTGTGGTTACCTCATTTGAATATAGATCTACTAAGAAAAAACGGGACGGAGTGAGAAGCTTTGGTACGACTTTTGATTTATGAGATGGCTACGCGAAAACCTCTTTGGATGCAAATGAAGTGGGAAGGAAAACTATACTATTTTCAGAACAAGAAAAACCTGAAGGAGTAAAACATGGACCTCTGACATCCCGAGTTTCATGCTCTGATAATGATTTCAATTCCATGTGGCTTCTTTCGGGGAAAAAAAGTCGAATTCATTGAATAATGTGAAGAAGATTGCGAAATTATTGGTGATAGAAAATTTACTCATTAGAATACAAATATCATCATCAGTCTTCATTTTCTGATTAGGATTTTTTCAAACTCAAATACTTCTGGGTGTTCCTTCCATTCAGATGTGCAGCTGGATTTGTCACGTCATTTTCTCAAATTACAGATGTTTATTAGCCTACTAGGATTGTTATATTATAATTGCCTAATAAGCAGTCAACTAGGACACAA